GTTGGGGGTGCCTGAGGGACCTGGCGGGGGGTTGGGGGTGCCTGAGGGACCTGGCGGGGGGTTGGGGGTGTCTGAGGGACCTGGCGGGGGGTTGGGGGTGCCTGAGGGACCTGGCGGGGGGTTGGGGGTGTCTGAGGGACTTGGCGGGGGGTTGGGGGTGCCTGAGGGACCTGGCGGGGGGTTGGGGGTGCCTGAAGGACCTTGCGGGGGGTGTGTCTGAGGGGCCTGGTGGAGGGTTGGGGGTGTCTGAGGGACCTGGCGGGGGGTTGGGGGTGCCTGAGGGACCTGGCGGGGGGTTGGGGGTGCCTGAGGGACCTGGCGGGGGGTTGGGGGTGCCTGAGGGACCTGGCGGGGGGTTGGGGGTGCCTGAGGGACCTGGCGGGGGGTTAGGGGTGTCTGAGGGACCTGGCGGGGGATTGGGGGTGTCTGAGGGACCTGGCAGGGGGTTGGGGGTGCCTGAGGGACCTGGCAGAGGGTTGGGGGTGCCTGAAGGACCTGGCAGAAGGTTGGGGATGCCAGAGGGACCTGGCGGGGGATTGGGGGTGTCTGAGGGACCTGGCAGGGGGTTGGGGGTGCCAGAGGGACCTTGCGGGGGATTGGGGGTGTCTGAGGGACCTGGCGGGGGGTTGGGGGTGCCAGAGGAACCTGGCGGGGGGTTGGGGGTGTCTGAGGGACCTGGCGGAGACTTGGGGGTGTCTGAGGGACCTGGTGGGGGATTGGGGGTGCCTGAGGGACCTGGCGGGGGGTTGGGGGTGCCTGAGGGACCTGGCGGGGGATTGGGGGTGCCTGAGGGACCTGGCGGGGGTATGGGGGTGCTTGAGTGACCTGGCGTGGGGTTGGGGGTGCCTGAGGGTCCTGGTGGGGGGGTGCCTGAGGGACCTGGCGGGGTGTTGGGGTTGCCTGAGGGACCTGGCGGGGGGTTGGGGGTGCCTGAGGGACCTGGCAGGGGGTTGGGGTGCCTGAGGGACCTGGCGGGGGGTTGGAGGTGCCTGAAGGACCTGGCGGGGGGGTGTCTGAGGGACCTGGCGGAGGGTTGGGGGTGTCTGAGGGACCTGGCGGGGGGTTGGGGGTGCCTGAGGGACCTGGCAGAGGGTTGGGGGTGCCTGAAGGACCTGGCAGAAGGTTGGGGATGCCAGAGGGACCTGGCGGGGGATTGGGGGTGTCTGAGGGACCTGGCAGGGGGTTGGGGGTGCCAGAGGGACCTTGCGGGGGATTGGGGGTGTCTGAGGGACCTGGCCGGGGGTTGGGGGTGCCAGAGGAACCTGGTGGGGGGTTGGGGGTGTCTGAGGGACTTGGCGGGGGCTTGGGGGTGTCTGAGGGAGCTGGCAGGGGGTTGGGGGTGTCTGAGGGACCTGGTGGGGGTTGGGGGTGCCTGAGGGACCTGGCGGGGGATTGGGGGTGCCTGAGGGACCTGGCGGGGGCTTGGGGGTGCCTGAGGGACCTGGTGGGGGGTTGGAGGTGCCTGAGGGACCTGGTGGGGAGTTGGAGGTGTCTGAGGGACCTGGCGGGAGGTTAGGGGTGCCTGTGGGATCTGGTGGTAGGGGACAGGGGGTGTCTGAGGGACCTGTGGGGGTTTGGGGGTGTCTGAGGGACCTGGCGGCGGGTTGGAGGTGTCTGAGAGACCTGGTGGTAGGGACTGAGGGTGTCTGAGGAACCTGGCGGGGTGTTTGGGGGTGTCTGAGGGAGCTGTGGGGGGCTGGGGGTATCTGAGGGACCTGACAGAGGCTTTCTTTGTGAAGCCTACTGTCCTTCCTCCCTGGAGCCTCTCTGCTTCCCAGAATTCAAGTTTTATTTTTTTGGGTTTTTTTTGCCAAACCCAGTGTGCTTAGGGCTGACTCCTGGTTTTGTGCTCAGGGACCATATGAGCTGCCGGGGATCGAACCCGGGTCAGACTCGTGCAGGGCAGACGGTGTGTCCACAGTACTGTTACTCTGGCATTTTAGTTTTGCTTCTCTCCGGAGCGGGGTTCTGGGAAGAGGAAGCGTGAAGAAACCGAAAGGGGACAAGCAGCGAGCTGGGCGAGTGGTGCCTCCCGGTGGGTCCTGCCACATGCCAGGAAGCCCCTAACAGGCTTTGCGGCTGGCAGGGTGAGGATGGTTCAGCGTGAGTCCTCAAGCAGATCCGCAGTCCTGGAGGCTGTGCCTGTGTGTTGTGTAATGTGTGTACTGTGTGCATGCATGTCCTTGTATAGGTGCCTTGTATATGTGTGCACACATGGATCTGTGTGTGTATGTATGTGAACATACATGTAAATGTGCATATGACCATGACTGTATACATGCATGTGTATGGTTGTGCATGTCTCGCCATATTCTACATGTGTATGAATGTGTGCACGTGTGTGCCACGTACAAATATGTACTTGCATACTGTGTATACATGTGTGTATGAGTGTATGAGTGTGTGTGGGTATTAGGCTGCATGTATGAATGTGTGGATTGTACACTGTGTGCACGTGTGTGATACGTAAGATGTATGCTTACATGAGTGTGTGCAGGTCCTGTGTGTGATGCATGAAATCTGTGTGTACCTGCCTGGAACCTAGCCTCTCCTCTGCACCCCCTCCCTCACTGCCTAGCTGGACGCCACTGACAGGAACCTGACAGTGTGGTCATCCTGGGCCTGGCCAGGGCCTGGGGTGCAGCCGCAGGCCTTCCGCTGATGCTCACAGGAGCTGGTGCAGGCGGTGACCACACAGCCCAACTCAGGCCCCTGGTGTGGGAGTCGCCTGCGCTTCACTGCGCTCACCCCCACTGCTAGGGCGTCCGGTCACCAGACCAGGCTCGGCTCTAAGAAGGGTGATGGCCAGCCCAGGCGCAGAGAACGCAGTAGAGATGCCCAACCACACACTCACACACATCCTCACATACCCACATGCGTGTACATCCTCACACATCCACACCCACCCACACTCATAGTCTCACACACACACCCTCATATCCTCACCTATACTTACACACAAACTCCTACACTCACACCTTCATATATTACCCCCACACACAACCTCACATGCACTCACACCTACCCACATTCACATCCTCACACAGACCCCCCCACACACGCATACTCACCTCTCACTCACACACACCCTCACTCACACTGACATCCTTGTGCAGACAGGCTCTAGAACACTGTCTCAGAGCTGGAGCAGTACTGGGAGAAATGGGTCCTTCCAAGCCTTCTTTTGAGGGGAACAGGAGCTTCCCAAGTCATGTTCAGGAGGTGGCCGGTGGGTGTACCCTGCCCGGCCCTGAGCTGGTGCCCACAGTGTCCCAGGGACCCGCCGGCTGTGGGCTGTGAGGTTTGTGTCCCAGTCCCTGCGCTGCGGAGGACTTGGGGCCCGCCAGCTGCCAATTTGGAAGTGTCCACTCCTGGGTTAGCCGCCCCTGGCGGTTGGGTTGGGAAGCCATGTCCGGGGAGTCCATTCTGCGAGGGGAGGGGCCCTGGGGACCAAAGCCCCCTGCCCTCATACTTGTAGGGGTTCTGCCTTCAGACTTGGGGAGACACTGGGTCTGCCGGGCCAAGTGCGGGGATCGGAGGTGGGGGGCACAGCTGAGCGAATGCAGCGCGCAGGAAGACGGGTGGGGGCCTGGAGGGAGGGGGGAACAGGGGTGCCAGGGTGGGCAGGACCGGACCCAGAGACCCGAGGGGGCTGAGCAGGAAGGGGCCGCCGGGTGCGGGACTGGTCTTCTGAGAGGCCCCACGTATTTCCGGGAAGGAAGCCCAGGGTGAGGGTCAGCCTGGTGGGGGCCGCCCCCTGGGGGCTGGACCACTGGGGGGCCGGTAGGAGCCGTTCTTTCTTGGACCGGGCGCTCGGCCGGCGCGGGCGGCGGTGGGGGAAACTGAGGCGCCGCGGGGCGGGGCGGGGCGGGGCGGCGCGTGTCCCCTGCCCGCCCGCCGGGGGCGGAGCTGGGCTGGGCCGGGCGCATGGCGGGCGCGGGACCCGGGGCGCGGGGCCGGGGCGCGGGAGGCGCGGCGGGGGCCGCGGGGACGCCGGGCCGCGGGCAGTGCCGGTGCGCGCCGCGGACACGGGCGACCGCGTGGACTCGGTGAGTAGCGGGCTAGCGGGCGCCGCCCCCTCCCCGGCCCCGGTCCCTCTCCGGGAACAAAGGCGGGCGCGGGCTGCGCGCGGTGGGCGTCGGGGGTCCCCATCCGGCTGCGGCGTCCCCCGGGCCGCGCGCCGGGACTAGGCGGAGGTCGTGCCTTTGTTCCCGTCCGCGCGGGCGGGGGGCTGGCTTGGGGCGGGGAACCCGGGGACCGCCCCAGGGGGTGCCGTTCTTCTTCGTGCCCGGGACTGCTCAGTAGGACCCTTGCTGCTCCGTGGGGCGCCCGCGTCGGGGCAGGCACGGGGCGGGGGACTCCGAACAGCAGGGCCCTGAGACCCCCCCCCAGTGTGGGTGCAGCGGGCCGGGCTGCCAGGCTGGCAGGGCTGGGTAGGGGCGGGCCAGCTGGGCCGCGCACACCCGCCTACAGGGCGCCAGGCCGAGCTCTCCCTAGCTGGGGTCCCCCAGAAGACCTGACAGGCAGGCACCCAGCCGACCAAGCTGGGAACGGGGAAGCGGGCAGGGAGCCCCCACGCCCCATGGCCAGGACCCATGCTGAGCGCCCAGCCATGAGGAAACCCTGAGCTGCCCGGTGTGGCCCCCAAGATACAAACAAAAGAAGTGGAGTAAGGAGTGGAAGGGGGGGTGCGGGGGAAACCTCCTGTGGTCTCTGCTGAGGAGCAGAGCTAGGGACGCAGGAGGGGAGCGGCCTCCGTGGCTCTTGAACTCTCTCAGCCAGGCTAGTCACCTTCACCCCAGTCACCTCTTCCTGGAAGCCTCCTGACTTCCTGCCCTGGGTTTGGACTGGGGTGGGCGGGGGCAGCCATGGTGTAAGGCCTGACTTCCTTGGACCGAGTCCTTGAGCCCAGAGGGTGCCCACTGAATGGAGCCGTGGGGAGCGCTGAGGGTGGCAGTGTGGACAGGGTCTGCCCTGCTGAGCACCCTGTCCTCCTCCAGCTCCATGGCGGCCGAGGAGATGCACTGGCCTGTGCCCATGAAGGCCATCGGCGCCCAGAACCTGCTAACCATGCCTGGCGGCGTGTCCAAGGCCGGCTACCTACACAAGAAAGGGGGCACCCAGCTGCAGCTGCTCAAATGTGAGTTCCCAGGAGTGTTGGGAGCGCAGCGAGGGCTGAGGGCTGAGGGCTGCCCGTCCTGCCAGGCTCTCTGGGTCCCTTCCCTCCTCTCTGTGGCTGTGCCCTTGGGGAAGCCAGGGTTGGCCTGGCAGCCCTTGAGTCTGAGAACTGGTACAGTGTGTGGAAACAGTCCTTGCATCGGGGTCCACAGTGCCAGACCATCGGCCAGCGGAGCTTCAGCCTTTGGGGGCTTGCGGGCACCTTTGCCTTAATCCATGGGGTGTCTTCCCATTTCTTCTCTGAGCAGCATGGGTCAAGCTGGGCCACTGGTGCCCTGTGTCAGATGCATGAGGCACCCCAGAAGGCTGCTCGGTTACAGGGGGTCTGGGAGAGGGCAGTGGGGCCAAGGGTGTCTCCCTGCTTGTCCCGCCTCACGCTGCCAGCCTAGAATGGAGGGAACTTGGCGCTCACAGCTCTTGCCCCGATCCAGGGTGGCATCCCCAGTCATCCCTGCCCAAGGTGGAGTGCTGGGGCGGGCAGCAGCTTGGGCGTCCCTTTGGGGACTGCAGGGCAGTGGGGCGCCCTGGCCTGCCCTCCCGTGGGACTCAGCGGCAGACCTGGGAGGGGGTGTCCAGAGCCCTCACCTCTGCACCCCTCTCTGCAGGGCCCCTGCGCTTCGTCATCATCCACAAGCGCTGCATGTACTATTTCAAGAGCAGCACATCCGCCTCCCCGCAGGGCGCCTTCTCGCTGAGCGGGTACAACCGGTGAGCACTGCCCTGTCTGCTGACTGACCAGACTGACCGCCTCCCGCCCTGCGCATAGCATGTGTCCACGCTGATCTGATGGGACTGACCAACCCTGCCTTGCCCAAAGCCCAGGTCCAGACTGACCCGACCGGCCATTCCCCATCGTGTGCACTGATGCGTGTCCCGGTGCCTGCTCCCCTGATTGGCTGCTCCCCGCCCTGCCCACGTTGGGCCTGATCTGAAGGATGGACCCATGTCCTGGCCTCTGGCCTGACCACCCCCCCCATCATTCTGGCCGCGTCTAGCATGGCCCCAGGCCCAGCTGTACTAATGTCCCTTTCAAGGCCTCCCTGGCTCCCGGGGCCTCAGGCTGGGTCCACCTACTGCTTTCCCAGTGCCCTGGGGAGTGAAGATGGGACTGGGAGAGACGCAGGCCCAGACCCCCATGTCAGCCACAAGCTCAGTGAGGGGCAGTGCCCAGCCCAGGTCAGTCCCCATACTGGCCCCTGCAGAACTAAGAGGAAGGAGACGTGGGGCCAGTGGGTGCCAGGAGACCAGGGCTGGGGCAGGGGCACATGTTCTCTGACCTCCACAGGCTGGGTGCAGCCCAGCCCCCTCCTAGAAGGGTCTGACCTTCCCAGTGACCTCTGGGGTCGCTTTATGGTATCCTTCCTCCCGAACCCACATCCTGACTGCCCTGGGGCCACCCTCCTCTGAGACTCACTTCTCTGCAATACTGCCGGGAGGTGGCCAGGGGTCTGGAGGGGTGTCCTGAGCGCGCCCTGGGACTCCTGGGAGCCCGTTCCCCAACCTTCCATCCACCCTCTTCCGTAAGTGGTAGCACCTTCCCTGGGACGCAGGGGACACCCGCTCAGGTCACATCAGGAGTGTGCTGGGCAGGACTGTGCATGGAGAGGGACACTGGTTCTGTGCCGCCAGGGTGATGCGGGCAGCTGAGGAGACCACCTCCAACAATGTCTTCCCCTTCAAGATCATCCACATCAGCAAGAAGCACCGCACTTGGTTCTTCTCTGCCGCCTCCGAGGAGGAGCGGAAGGTGAGCACAGGGACGGGCTGGGCGGGTGCGGGGGCCCGCCTGGAGCTTTTAGTGCCCAGGCGCAGAGCCAGGTGGGTCGGGCTCCATCCCCAAGAGCGTGGGACTGGGGCAGCTGAGGGGGGGTGCTCCCATGCCCACTCCCCATTTGCGCGGACAGAGCATGGTGACCGCTCCGCAACCGGGAAGGCGCCGAGCAGGGGGGTGGTGAGGGGAGGTGCACGCTGCACACTATCACCTGGACTGGCCCACAGAGCTGGATGGCCTTGCTGCGCCGGGAGATCGGCCACTTGCACGAGAAGAAGGAGCTGCCTCTGGACTCGAGGTGGGTCTGACTGCCCTGGGTACGGTTGCCGCGGTGCGTGTGTCTTGGTTTGTGTCCATGGGGGTGTGTCCGCACTTGCATGTGTCTGTGGGGTGTGTCAGTGGGTAGATGCGTGTGTCTGTGGATTGTCTGTGGGTATGTGCCTGTGGGTGCGTGTGTCTGTGAGGAGTGTGTCTGTGGGGATATGTTCTTGGCTGCATGTGTCTGTGTTGGGGGGGTGTCTGCGGGGGTGTGTTCTCCGGTGCATGTGTCAGTGGGGAGTGTGTCTGTGGGGATGTGTCCTCGGGTGCGTGTGTCTGTGGGGGCATGTGTCTCTGGGTGTGTGTATCTGGGGGTCTGCGGGGGTGTTTGTGGGTACACGTTTCTGCAGGCCTGCAGATGTCTCACGGGAGTGGACGCGCCTGTGTTGGTGCCCACCCTTCATTTGTCCTGCCTCCAGTGACTCCAGCTCAGACTCTGACAGCTTCTATGGTGCAATCGAGCGGCCCGTGGACATCAGCCTGTCACCGTACCCCACAGACAACGAAGGTGAAGCCCCACATCTACCTGTGTGATGGGTTCCAGGCTTCCTTGGGGCAGGGGCACCTCTGATTATTTGGACAGCCTGGCTCCAGGGTTCATTCCAGGCCTCCTTACCTGACCCTTAAAGGGGTCCATGTGGCTGTCTGGGGACGACATGGCTCATGGCCTTCACCCCACAGATTATGAGCATGAAGATGAGGAAGATTCGTACATGGAGCCCGACTCGGCAGAGCTGCTGCAGCCCGAAGGTGGGGGTTCTGTGAGAGGGAGGGACAGGCCCAGGCCAGGAGCCCCTCTACACCCTTCTGTGGGCAGACTCTGAGGGGTGGCCCCGGGAAAGAGGGGGACAGTGAGGCCTTTATCGAGCCTCTCAGGCCCAAGCCCCAGGCCCCACCCATGTCCCATGGGGTCCCAGGGGCACATGGCCTGGAGAGGCACGCCCCCATTCCGCTCTCACTTGCCATTCTTTCTTCTCCCCACCGCTCCTCCCTCACCTTCACCCCGGACTTTTCCCCAGATGCCTCTTTTGGGGTTCACAGGCCTTCCCGCTGCTCCCACTCAGTCCCAGGCTCCTCTCTGTTCTGCATACCTGGGCCTCACCGCACCACTGGGCCTCTTGGCGGGCATCTTTCGAAAGCCAGCCGAGACCTTCCTGAACCCCAGACCTCTTCTGAGCGAGCCTCTGTGCCCTGCCCCTCGTTCTAGCCTGGTCTTGGAGCCAACTCAAGCCCCTCCTCCGGCCCTGCCCCAGGCTCCCCGTAGAGACGAGTCCACAAGCTCTCCCCACTCCCTTCTCGGGACGCCCCTCTGGTTGCCCCCAAACTTTAGCTTGGTTTTGTTTTGGGGTGTTTTGGGGAGGTGTTGGGCCACACCTGGTGATGCTCAAGCGTTCCTCCTGGCTCTGCACTCAAGAACTCCTTTTAGCGGTGCTCGGGGGACCATTTTGGGCTGCCAGGAATCAAACCCGAGTTGGCTGCATACAAGGCAGATGCTCTCCCTATTGTCCTATCGCTCCAGCCTGACCCGCAAACCTTAGGAAGCTCTCATAGGCTAACTCCCAGGAGGCGTTGGGGAGGACCCCAGGAAGCAGGGCTCGGGATTGCACAGCTCCGGGGCACAGGTGACCTAACTCCCGGTCCGCTTTGTCTGCAGATGCCCTGAGCCACCCTCCAGCCTATCCTCCGCCCCCTGTGCCCACACCCCGGAAGCTAGCCTTCTCCGACGTGCCCCGTGCCCACTCCTTCACCTCTAAGGGCCCGAGCCCCCTGCTGCCTCCGCCACCCCCGAAACGGAGTCTTCCCGATGTGGGCTTTACCATGGACACCAAGCTGGGTCTGAGGCAGGTTGAGGCCAGCTCCCGGGCATCCACTGCCTCCCGCAGGCTGAGCGACCCCCCACTGGGTGGCCTGCGCAAACCCCCGTGCTTCCAGGAGCCCCGTGTCCCCAGCCCGGAGCCCCGCGCCCCCAGCCCAGGGGCCTCTTGCTCCTCGCGTGCCACCAGCATTGCCGCTGCCGCCTCCAGGAACTGTGACAAGCTAAAGTCCTTCCACCTGTCCCCCCGGAGGCCACCCACGCTTGAATCTCCACCGATGCCCCCACCCGTGCCCGCCAACAAGCCCAAGTTCCTGCAGGGGGCCGGCGATGCCCTCCGGAGAGAGGCTACTAGGCCCGGACCCTGTGTGCCCCCTGTGGCCCCCAGGCCGCCCGCGCTGAAGCTGCCTTTAACCGACACGCCCGACACCCGGCCCTCAGCCCTGCCCAGGCCAGAGAAGCCATCTCTCCCGCACCTCCAGTGAGTTTGCCCGACCTTTACCCAGAGGACCCTGGCCTGGCGCCCTGAGCCGCCCTTGGTGTCTAGCTGCCCCGGCCTAGACCAGGAGAACACCCTGTCCAGGCTGGGTAGCCTCTGTACTAGTCCCAGAGATGCAGGTGTTTTGATCGTGGTGGAGCGGGCAGCCTAGAGGGCAGTGGGCTGGAGCTCAGGAAGGACCTCCCGTGGGAACTTGTAAAACGTGAGGAGCTGGCCCCTGAGCAGGGTGGGGCTGGCTGGGTGACGGGGAAGCTGGTGCCCACTCCCAGCACCCTTGCGCTGCCCTCCCAGACCAGAGCTGCCAGACCAGCTTCTCCCCAGGCTCCGTGAGCACCAAGCCCTGGAGGTTCCTGGGAGGACCTTGTCCCACATTGATGAGGGGTACAGAGAAGTGGACTCCCGGGTCTGAACCCCAAGTTCCAGCCACATGTCCATGGCACAGCCCCAAAAAGGAGTCTTTGATCTGGGGGCCCCAGAGGTTAGGGACCATTGACCCTACCTTTGGGGTACACGGGGCTCTGTGTATGCGTGTTCCCTGGCCTGGCCTACTTAGACCTCTCGTCACTCTGTGGCTCTACCAGGAGAGGTATGATAGGGCCGTGGTCCCCAGCTTGTCACCCACCTGAGCCCGGGTCAGTTCCGCTGGGCAGCGCTTCTGTCTCCCATTGCCTAGTTTCTCAGGGTTCCCATTTGACAGTCTAGAGTCGCATTACTGACTAGCCCATAGGCACATGGTCACTGCCCCTCTCTGCTCACAGGCGATCACCGCCCGATGGGCAGAGTTTTAGGAGCTTCTCCTTTGAAAAGGCCCGACAGGCCGCGCCGCCCGCCCCCAGCGGGGAGGACTCAGACGAGGACTATGAGAAGGCAAGGCCGACGGTTGCAGAGACCCAGCTCCACATATAGACGTATAGGGTGGGGGTGCAGGGGTTCAGGGATGCGAGCGTCGCACAGACCCTCGCCCCTCCGCGTAGGTGTCTGGAGTGGGGTGCTGGGAAGTAGCTGTGAGCATCTCACCAGAGGTCTCTGCCTCTCCAGGTACCCCTGCCCAGCTCCGTCTTCATCAACACCACCGAGTCCTATGAGGTAGAAAGGTCAGTGCCCCTGGCCCCTCCTTGCGGGGAGTCCTGTGCTATGTGTCCCAGAGCTCCATGGAAGCTGAACTGCAGGATGGAGTAGGCTGGGGCCCCGTTCACTGTGAGCTTTGATGCTGCAGGTTGTTCAAGGCCTCAAGCCCCCGTGGAGAGCCCCGGGACGGCCTCTACTGCATCCGGAACTCCTCCACCAAGTCGGGGAAGGTGGGTGAATCGGCCTGTCCTCAGCCCCCCCCCCCCACACCTCTATTCTTGGCACATTAATTGACACCATCTGTAGAAAGGCCATCGAGGGTGACCCCTCAGCTTGGGTGCATGTAGGGAGCAAGGAGAGCAAAATGGGGGCCTGGGACTCTGTACCTTGAAGTGAGGCTGATGCCCACCTGTGTGTCCCCGGGGGTTTGGGTGGTCATAGGTGTCTCGAGTCTGTCTCCCACCAATTTAGATGGTCACAGGGTGGGCCAGGCCCATCCTTGTTTCTTTTCTTTCTTTTTTCTTTGTTTTGGGGTTTTTTTTGGGTCACACACAGCAATGCTCAGGGTCACCACTCCTGGCTCTGCACTCAGGAATCACTTCTGGTGGTGCTTGAGGGCCTTATGGGATGCTGGGAATCGAACCAGGGCAGCCGCATGTAAGGCAAATGCCCTACCCGCTGTACTGTCACTCCATCCCTCTGGCCCTGTTTACTGGGTTCCTCAGGGGACTTCTCTATCAGTGACCTTGCTTCTGTGCAGTACTCGCCCTTGGTCTGGGCTCCAGTGCTGCCCTCAGCCAAGCCCCTGCCTGCACCCCCTGTAGGTCCTCGTTGTCTGGGACGAGACGTGCAACAAAGTGAGGAACTACCGCATCTTTGAGAAGGTGAGCTAGGCAGCCTGTGGAGGACAGGGCTGGGGATGCTGGGGAGGGAAGGAACCACCACGCCCCCCTCCCCCTTTACACACACCTGGAACTGCCCTCATCTCCTCACTAGCTGTGTGCTCATTTGGAGCCTGGCTGTGATGGGTCTGGCCTCGTCCCCTCTTGGGGGCAGGGAGGAAATGGGGGTAGTCAAAACTAGCTTGCCTGGGGCCAGCAGGTAGGGCGTTTTTTGCCTTGCATGTGGCTAACCCTGGTTCAATCTCCAGCATCCCTTACGGTCCCCTGAGCACCGCCAGGAGTGATTCCTGAGTGCAGAGCCAGGAGTCACCCCTGAGTATCGCCAGGTGTAGCCCAAAAAGCAGAACAAAATAAAACAAAAATCAGAGCAGTTGGCCAGATCCCTGATCCTGCCAATTCTCCCCTTCCTCCAGGACTCTAAATTTTACCTGCAGGGCGAGGTCCTGTTTGTGAGTGTGGGCAGCTTGGTGGAGCATTACTCCACCCATGCTCTGCCCAGCCACCAGAGCCTGGTGCTACAGTGTCCCTACGGCTACGCGGGGCCCCGGTGACCATGACCCCAGCCTCAAGGCCCCTGGCTGCAGTTCCCCAAGGCTGTGTGCGGCTCCGGGGACTCCGTGACTCAGAGCGACCCAGGCCACCACCCCAGGCTGTGCAACAAGACTCGGCGGCGGGGGACAAGCCAGAACCGGAGCAGGAGCCGGGGACCTGGTAGTCCCCTGGGAATCCTGTCGAAACTTCCAGGTCAGGCCCCGCCCAGTAGGCTGGGTACTGGGGCTTTTGAGGATTGGGGCACTCTCCTAGCTCACTCCTCTAGAACTGGACTTGCTGCACAGGGATTCTGGAACTTTCACCTCATCCCTGTGCACTGCGCCAGGAGCCGGGCAGGGTTTGGGCATTTGTGGTGGGGGCAGGGGCTGGTCCCAGGACCCCCAGGAACACAAAGGCACAGGCTCCTGGAGGGGCCAGTGCCAGGCAATAAAGCACACGTGACTTTGCCCGGCAGCTGGCACTCTGTGGGCTTCCTTGGGAAGGAGGACAGAGACCAGCTTCGGGACTGGGCCCACAGGGGCTGCCACCCCGGCCCAGCATCTGTTCCTTTGCTGGGTGAATTGAGTACCCGGGTCCTGAGACGCCTGCAGGCCCTGTTGACCAGTGTGTGGCACCCAGCTGGGGCCTCCCGGGAGAAGTGAGCTGTTGTTGCTGGGGAGGAAGAGTGGCTGGCACAGAGCTCCTGAGGCCTATGTTCCCTGAGGATTGCCAGCTAGTGCCCAGCCCTGGCCATCCCCTCACTTCCTGCTGCGTGATCCCGAGTCTATCGGTTGTGCAAGGCCTTTGAGCCGGAAGGTCGGTTACTGAAATGTTTGCTGGAGGGCGGTTGGGGCTGGCTCCTCTGTCAGGCACGGAGGCACACCCGAGGTCACGCTGCTGCTGCCAGCAGGGCGGCACCACCAGCTCAGGGTGCTGAGGAGTGGGGAGGTGGTGGGCATGCTGCCGAGGGAATCTGGCGTGGGGGCGCATGCCTGTCTGGGCTGGCCTTCTCTGCCATCAGTCCCTTTGCGGCCCCCAGATCCCCCACTGTGGCTGCAGTTTCCCTTCTTTGCTTTTTGGGTCACACCCAGCGATGCTCAGAAGTCACTCCTGGCTCTGTACCCAGGAATCACTCCTGGCATTGCTTGGGGAACCATATGGGGTGCCCGGGATCAAACCCGGTTCAGCTGCGTGCAAGGCAAACGCCCTACCCGCTGTGCTATCGCTCTGGCCCTGCAGTTTCCCTTCTTGGAATGATTTCCAAGCAGGACAGGAAGCAGAGAAGTGGGCTCCGACTGGTTCTCAGAGTTCTCAAACTGGGGACTGGGGGAGGGGAGGGGCGGGGGCATGGTCCCCGAGGCTGAAATATGATGGAAGATCCCTAATCTGGCAGTGTTGATGGCTTGGGGCCGACCCCAGCACCTGGCCCTGCCTCGCATTACCTCCCAGACTTGCGCCCGTCGTGTAAACCTGGTGGGTGGCTGACAGTAGGGGGTCCTGGGAAAGTTCTGGTCCACATGGCATTGGAAGGAATGCAGTTTGTTCCTGCACAGGCATCCTATGGTCCCCTTTACATTTCTTTCTTTTTGGGGGGGCTTTGGACCACACCCAGAGGCGCTCAGTACCTGTCTCCAGCTCTGTGCTCAGGAAACAATGCTAGGGGAACACAAACCCTCTGAGCTATCTCCCTGCACCCTAAATTCGTTTCTCACTTTTGTGGTACCGGGGATCAAACCCAGGCCTGCACATGTGCAAGGCAAGCGCCCTATGCCGAGCTTGTGTCCTGCCCTTGTCACCTTTAATAGGCAAGAAGGTGGAGGAGAGGGGACAGGGACAGAACTTGCAAAGCTGTGCTCCAACCCTTCGAGCTGTCTCCCGGCCCTGGAAGAGAATCTCTTGCTCAAGAGAAGAGTTTGGATCAGAGGAGGGCCCAGCAAGTGCACACCTGCCCCGTCCCCTTGTTCTAGGCCAGCTTATGTCACAGTGCATGGAGTGCCCCCTGCTGGTTGTCGGAGGGCTGGTGGCTGAGGCCACAGGGCTTCAGGGCTCCAGAGGGCGGGGCCAGTGAGGACTATGCCATAGACATGGTCGCCCCTCTTAGGGAACAGTGCCTGGTGGGGAGAGGGCCGTGCCATCCAGCGGCCTTCCAGTGCTTCTCTCCAGAGGAGAGCCGGGGACTCAGCTGATACCCTCCTCCGCTCAGCCGCTCAGAGCCAAGGGGTGCACTTTGTTCCTTCCGGTGTGAGAGAGGACCAGGGAGAGGGTCCAAAGGGATGGGGCATGTCATCTGTATGAGGGAGCCCCATGTTTGTCCCAGCAGCATTGGAGTGACCGCTAGCACAGGGTCAGCCCCTGGGTGTGGCCCCCAAACAAAACCAAGAGTGAGCCACAAGTTTTGAGGTTAGTGTTATTGTTGAGCAGTTGTTGAGGTGAGTGTCCAGCTGGACCCCATTGGGAAGCCGCTAGCCTTTTACCAGAAGTCAAGTCTTCTGCTGTGATCAGCTTGCACTCCCCAATTTGTCATACTCCACAGTATGTTCTTGCTTTGCTGTTTCATGTAAACTGAACTGGACAGATTCGCATTTGGCTTCTTTGGCTAAACATAGTGTCTGGGATTTGTCCATGTTGCTGTGCTGTGGTTTGTTCATGGTCAGGCCTGGAAACTGGCCCATTGCATGAACACTAGAAGCCCACTGATTGTTTCCAGAGTGGGGCAGTTGGCAGTGACCAGTGATTTGCTCAAGTGATTCTGCCTGGCTGCTCTAGACCTTGTGCCAGGAATCTGAGTCCTGGGTTCCAGGACATCAGGACATTTCCCTGCTTCCCCAGGCCATAACTGTTCTGCTCACCCTTCCTGTCCTTGCCACAACACTTGGAATTGTCTTTTTTTTTTTCATTTTTGTCATTCTGCTGGGTGTATAATTGTGACTTTAATTTGCACTTAATTAACTAATGAGGCTGAGCACATATTCTTTTGGTTTCTTTTTGGGCCACAGATAGTGTTGCTCTGTGCTTAGGGGTCACTCCTGGTGGGGCTCAGGGGACTCTATGGGTGCTAGAGATGGAATCAGGGTCGATTGTGCAAGGCCAGTGCCCTGCCGTCTGTACTGTCTCCAGTTTCTCCATATTCTGATTTTTATTAACCATCTTGATTTCTAACCATTTTCTAACTGTTGCTAGTCTTTTACTTAATCATCAATAGGATTTCTTTATAGTCTTCATATTGTCAGTAATTGCAAATATCTTTTCTGGGCTGGAATGATAGCTCAGTGGGTAGGGCGTTTGCCTTGCATGCAGCCGACCCTGGTTCGATTCCCAGCATTCCGTATGGTCCCCCAGCACTGCCAGGAGTAATTCCTGAGTTCATGAGTCAGGAGTAACCCCTGTGCATTGCCGGGTGTGATCCAAAAAGCAAAAAAAAAAAATATATATTTTCCAATTATGTAATTGTTTTTTACCTATAGCATAAGGATTCACTTTCCCCTCCATTGGGCAAGCCATCTCTTCCTTCTCCGTTTCGATAGACTTTGCAAACTGTTTATCATAAATCCATGTGCTTGTAGGTCTGCTGTGGGCTCGGTAGTTGGTCTGTCAATTCCTGATGCTTCACCAAATTAGGGGCTTTTTTAGGGTTCAGACTCAAGGGCTTACTCCTGGCTCTGTGCTCAGGGATCACTCCTGGCAGTATTCTGACCATGTGCGGTGCTGGAGATCGAACCAGGTCAAAGGGTGTAAGGCTTTACCTCTTGTGCTATGTCTCTGGCCTACCAAGGTAGCTCTTTAAATCATGATTTTAGGGGCATGAGTGATGGCTCAATGGCTCAAGGACCTGCTTTGCATGCAGGAAGTTGGTTCAGCATCATGGTCTTCTGAGCAGTGCAAACAGCCACCAGAGCACGACATCGCCAAACAAACCAAAAGTCTTAATCCTTTCATTGAACTTATTTCCCGCTTCCCCCTTCTTTTGTGTCTGTGCTGAGGGTGATTTGCACACATGAGGTGGAGCCTGCACTGCTGTACAGGGGCTTGCTAGCTCTCCTGCTTGACTGTGGTACTTGCATACACTTGGTTCCAGTGCACCCCAGATTGCATCTTTTACTGTGGCACTAGGTTCCCAAACAGCAGAGCAGCTGAGATGGTGTTTGAATGTGTAGGGTGGTGCTGAGGGTCAAACTGGTACCTCACTGGCCTTGTGCTGGCAAGGCAGTTTTCCACTGCTGAGCTTACCCCAGCCCTACCAATGTATTTGAGTTACTCTAGCTTCATTGTATTTTCATATTTGGAAAAGTAAGTCCTTTTTTTTTTTTGTTGGTCTTTTGGGCCACACTCTGCTGTGGTCAGGACTTACTCCTGGCTCTGCACTCAGGAATCACTATTAGCAGGCTCGGGGACCATATGGGTTGCCAGAGATTGAACCCGGGTCAGCTGCATGCATGGCAAATGCCCTCCTCACTGTACTATTACTCCAGCCCTTTAAGTCCTTCCTTTTAGGTATAGCCCATTGTGTGAATGGACCCAGTTTTAGTTTGTCAATTGGGTATCCTGCTAATGGACAGCTGACTTATTGCCATCATTTGGTTCTTGCTCACGCTGCTAAGATCACAGATGTACAGATACCTACTGGAGTCCACTCTCATTTCTTCCCTTCCCTGGTGCCACACTTGGTGGTGCTCAGGGCCTACTCCTTGTCCTGCTTGGGAGTTGTTTCTTCTGGCAGTGCTCTGGGGAGCATACAGTGCCAGACATTGACCCTGCGCCTCCCCAATGTAAAGCCTGCATGCTTGTCCTCTGAGCCATCTCCCTGGCCTCTCAATTATTTTCTCTTTTCTTTTGCTTGGCCTCCCAAGTAATGTTCAGTGCTTTAGTTTCTTTTCTTTTTAACCTTATTTAAACAACATAGTTTACAAAGTTAGGCTGGAGCGATAGCACAGCGGGTAGGGCGTTTGCCTTGCACGCAGCCAACATGGCCGACCCGAGTTCGATTCCTCCGCCCCTCTCAGAGAGCCCGGCAAGCTACCGAGAGGATCTCGCCCACACGGCAGAGCCTGGCAAGCTCCCCGTGACGTATTTGATATGCCAGACACAGTAACAACAAAAGTCCCACAATGGAGACATTACTGGGCCTGCTCGAGAAAATCGATGAGCAACAGGAGGACAGTGACAGGGACAGTTTACAAAGTTGTTCATACCAGAATGACCTTCCCTTCACCATTGTCCTCACTTTCCCAACAACCCCTGACTCTGACCTCTCATCAGACACACAATCTATTTTATACTGCCTGTGACAACTACATGGCTAATTGAATTATCAAAAATACTGCACTATTTGTAAAATTTGTAAGAAGAAAATTTGTAAAAATTACTACATCTCGCTATGGGGTCGTTAAATCCTATTCTGAAGATTTATTAAGCTGTTTGCTGCTGCTGGAGCCTTCTGCGTTATTGTTGAGTTGGCTTCTGTGTTAC